GTTGTATGCCTTTTATCCAATTCTTGTTGTTTTAATATTGAACTACGTTTGACCTAAATTGTTAAAAAATATTCTTAATTACTTATTTTATAATCTCGAGGGCTTAAATAGGCACTTATACATATAATATAATATAATAATAGATAGATAATCTTTTCGCGATCAATTAAACTACGTTTATCCAATAACTTTTCGAAAATTAAACGCCGAATTATAATTAAGCAAATCGTACCGTACCGTAGATACTTTGATGAATTTTTCCGCCGAAACACCGCTAATTAGTTAAGTCCTGATAACGATTCTGCGGTTCTGAGTGGGCGCGGAACGAGCGCGAGATTATAAATACCCGGCGGAGCCGCAAAAGTAAGAAAAGTTTAATCAGGACTTGGAGGAAGAGTGGGAGGGCCAAAGAGGGAAAGAAGAAGGGAAGGGAAGCGTCCTCGTGACGACTTGATGAGATAACTTTGCCCAAGTTGTGAAACAACGGGCGTCACGATACGTGACTTCGTGCGAGGGTGAAAGGAGAATCCGTGCTCCCTGTAGGTGTATGGGGGTGAGAGGGTGAAGGCGGAATGAGACTAAGGGGCCAGACACGCGACCACCTTGGATACCGCCCTGTCCTGTTCCTGAGGTGTATGACGACGATCGTATACACGGCACGTTTACGATGCGTGAGAGGTGAATTCCTTCCGTTTCGTGCGAGGAAACGGAGCGCATTTTTGCGTGCGAAAATGCCTGTAAACTCTTCAGCGTTGGTACGGGGTGCTAACAACAGTCCACATGACATTTCGTGTAAATAAGTTTGGGCAATATTATCGCGAGCATTTGACACGACATATCGATGTAAAAGCATTAAAATAAATAGAACTGCTCTTGCACATTGCACATGTATAGTTCTTCAAGATACAATGTTATGTCCCGAGGAGAAGAGTGCACTCATACTTGAGTGCGGCAAACAATGTTATATGCGAAATAAAAAATCACCTGACTCACAAATCCTTAATGTACGTACGAAGGACATTTACACGTACGTCGTGAGTCTCCGAGGGACGTCGATTAGGCTGATTACCGCCGGCGGCCGGGGTCGTCGTGGGCGGGTTCGGGGATGCGTTCGCCAGTTCGCCGACTCATCACGTGACGTG